GTGTATGAGACATATTATATAAGAAGAGGATATAAAAATACATAACAGAACATTTAGTGGGGATAAGTCTAACTGAATCAAAATGCTAGAAGAAAGAAAATAAAATAAGACATTTCATTGCATATTTTCCTCATAGCTTTTGTTTATTTTTTTTAATAGGGAATTATATAAAATAATTACAAGCATTTAAAAAGGTGTGACTATCGTCATTTAGAATAAATATTTGAAATGATCAAATGTTATCATTTGTGATCAATAATTTAAGACTAGAATACTTTAAAAATAGAAACAAAAAATACTGGAAATCCTGTTTTAAGTGTTTAAAATTCATCTACACCTAATTTGAGCCTCTTTAGAATTTATCATCAACATGCATTTGGCTGGTTTAGTATTTTAAAAGTGTTGGAAAAATGGGCCAATAAATGACTTCAAAGTGAACATTATTAAGAGTCAGTATTCCTTAATGCATCAGGGTTAGTGGATGTTTGTAGAGGACCCAAATGCAGAGATGGTTGCTTGCAGATTTAATGAAGAGGTAGATGGTAAATGAAGCAAATCCAGAAATAACAGGCAGGGACCTCAGGAACTAAAAACTAGGGGATGTTAAAGAGAAACATACATGAATGAAGGGAATCCAACAAAGAGGTACTGTAGAGAAGTATTATTTATAGGAGACAGAAATGAATGGAGTGATCAGCTAATCGGGAGCAGGCGTGAATAGAAGCAACTAGAAGACAGCTAGGGGAATAGGAGACGGGCACTAGGGGGCAACAAAGAGTAACTAATGACCAAGAAACAGAATTGCCAAAAGGGAAAAGTAGAGGATGGGGAAGGGATAGGAGAAATGATGATAAATAATCTGCTGTGACAAAAAATAATGTAAAGATTAAAGAAAACCATAAACATGAACAAATACAGCACAGATTAAATTAATTTCAGGAATGCTGAAAGAAGATAACAAAAGATAACTTAAATAAGAATAAGAAGTAATTTGTAAATGTTAATGTAAAACTTTTTAACAGCAACACAGGAAAACCAAAATCAAAGCAAAACTGAAAACCCAAAAATTAAAACTTGAACTGTTTAGTTTAGATATTTATATTTAAATAAATAGAATAGGTTTTACTGACTGAGATTGATTATTAAATTATACATTCATTATCAAGTTCATATTTTTAACATTTTTCTTAGGCTTAGGAAAATGTGATCATTTTAAACACTGCTTAGTTTGGAGGCGAGGAGGAAAGTCCCGAGGGAAGGCAGCGTCCTGCGGATACGAGAGAATGAGACCCACAGCTGGTTACAACTGTTTGAATTGAGTCAGCTTCTGGCAGGGTGCTGGAAGAGATGGCAGTGAGCAGTAGGTAGGTTGAACTGAATGACAGCAGAGCTCTTCAACCCGGGAGGCAGCACAGAGAGGAACTGGTATTACTTCAGGGAGATCCCCAAATTATTTACTGGATGCTTGCTCAGGGAGATACATAAGTTATACACATAATGATTGATCTGGCAGGAATCTGCTCTTTAAATGTCCACCTGCTAAAGATCAGGCATCTGGATTCGATGGGCCAGCTGTCACCATATCAGATATCATAAATCAATATTGAGTCAAACGCCCACCTAAAATGTGTAAGCATTTCTATATATATAAAAATTCTCACTAGCATCATTTTGGTTTTTTACTTTCTGAAATTCAGTTTCTGCTGCAAAAATGTAATTAAAAACCTCTATTATTACAGTTAGACTACATAAGTGAATAATCTTATTTTAGTTATCTACAAGTGGAACAACACCTACAGTAGGAGAGTGCTTTCAATAAATGTTAAAATGACCTGCCAAAGTCACATAAACCTATGCGTTAACTCAAGAAGCAATCTTCTTCTTCACCAACTTCCTCTCCTTTGCAGCTATAGAGCATTCTCCATTAATTTTTTTCATTTCTGGATTAAAATCTTTAGTTCTTGTGGGGTGAAATAGGCATTTCTTGTTGCCTGCGTGTTGCCTATATGTCTGCTTCTCATTGAACCCCAGTCACCCTCAGCAGATGGCCGCTCACACTGAGCCTGAGTTCTCTTGGAGATCTCTTTCTGTTCAAAGGGAGTTTTCCTCTCCACTGCTGCTAAAAGCATGCTCAGTGTGTGGGATAGATGAAGAGACTATGACAAAATGCAAGAAGGTTGTTGCCATAGGCTCATCCAAGAGGGGCATGTCTTGCAAGTCAATGACTGGATGCAATCAACTGGTTTTCATAACCAGTCTGACAGTATTGTCTCTGTGAAGTGCCTAGGGATAACATGTTGTGAATTGGTGCTATATAATTCAACTGAATTGAATTGAACTGATGCAGACATTAATTATCTATCTCTAATATCTTCTTTTTTATTGCAGGATATTTCCAAAGTGTGAGAAAAAAAAGTAAGTTACTAAATAATCTGTAAATGTTTTCAATATATACATATAATTAATTTGAAAATGTATTTTATGTATCAATCCTAAATAAATTAAGTTTAAATAAATAGAAGAGGACCGGTTCAATCTTTTTTTAATAAACATTTAACATTTAATTTTAACTAATCCTCTGGATATTTAAAGGTTCATTGCAGTGCAAATAAATATGGTACAAAATGCAGTAGAACATTGAGTTGCATTGTATTTAAAGGGACATCAGCCACTTTGGTAGTGCAAATATGATGTTATCAAATTTGATGTAGAGACTTGATTAGAGTTCAACATTCAGATGGTAGTGGGAATAAGCTGTTGTAGAACCTGCTGGTCCTGCTGTTTTCCTAGAGGGCAGCAAGGAGAAGAGTCCATGGTGGGAAGTGAGGGGTCACTGATGTTACGGGACACACAGCACTGGGATTAAATGTCTTTAAAGAAGGGAAGACAAGCCCCTATGATCCTCTCTACTGTCCTTACCACTCTCCTCACATTCTTTCAGTCTGAGGCTCTCCTCATCCTCCACAGGAAGTACAAGCGCTTAGGTACACTTTTAGGGTACGGCTGCTGCTGACAGTAGTTTTTTCTCTGAAATACAAAGTGACTATTTCAATGAGGGAACAAAATTTAAAAAACATGTCCTTCTGTTGTTCCAAGCACTGAAAATATGCTGTGGAGTGCTGCAATCTTTCCTTATCTAGCCTGACCTGTTTCACCCAGTATGAAAGTAGCTCTGGATCCATTGGAAATGTAAATAAGCCTACAGTAAGCCATCCTTATCGGGTTGAAGGAAAAATGTGTGACACAACTCAAAGACATAGCTGTATCTTAATTAATGAAAACTTCAGGTACTTTCAAAAAGAAAAATACGATGTTCCAGTTACTCAGTCGTTCTCCAGCATACATCATTGTGGTTTTCTCCTTCAGTAACGAATCGGTGCTGGAAGACGTTTTTTGATAAAAAACATTTTATGCATCCTTGAGTTTATTTGGGTCTGATGTTATGTAAAACTGTGGATAAATGTTTTTGTAACTGCCTGGTTCAACTGTACATATTAGACCAACACAAAGTTGGAGGAAAATCTTAAAAGTGTGGCATAAGTTTTCTCCAATACCGCAAATAAAAATGTGTTACAGCCAGCTCCACCAACAGCTTCTTTATTAACAAAAAGGGTCCAGCTGTGGATTATTTTCATCTTGGTATTAATCAAGCTGTTTGATGAAGGCCTCAAATGTTTCTTAGTACATCAGAGTTGGATGGCGTCTAATGTTTATTTATCCTGTTAGTAAACTGATTACAATTAAACAGTTAAAAATAGGCAGGAAATAAGTACCAGTGCTCATCTATAACTGACAATTATCATATTTATTTCTATCCAGATAGAGACGATGTTGATGCTGAAGAAGGTAAGTAAGTTTTTGTTCCGTCCAACATTTAAAGGAACAAATCTTTACCATTTAGCGTTTCAAAAAATATATAATTTCTGAAGACCCCTCAAGCTTTGGCCCTTCATAGTTGTATTAGAAATGATTTACGCTGAAGTAAAACCAATGTTTATAATGTGTGACATTGATTGTTGGGGGGGTTTTTTTGGCAGGGAAGGGATTTCTTGACAAGAATAGCATGAGAACTGGTAAGTATAATGACTACTTTCCTTTATCCTTGTTGTGCAGTTAAACAGATAATATTCGAACTGTCATGTATTGTTTACAAACACACGCCCCACTGGCTGTGTGTTAGAACAACAAATGAAAGTGTGAATATACACATAACATCCAGTTATTTACATAAAAAAGCTAGCTAGTCATAGATACTGCTTAGTATATTTTTAATAAGACTTCATTACTCTTTAGTTTGCCCGCAATGTTTGATATGTTTCTTTACATTATCTTCTTAGCTACAAGACAAAAGTGTCCGCATCTTTCTATGACTCGATTTGAGTCAGCCACAGCCGATGCAGTCTGACAAGCGCTCCTTCACTGTCAGCCAGTGACACACCAAGTAGAGCGATATGACGCCTCATAGAGCCCTTTGGTTATTGGTTAAACCCACCTGGGCTGTTTGGCTTTGTAGCCAAGGAAATAAGGTTTCAAACAAGGGTAGACATGGCTGGGTTGCATAAGGCAGAGCGCATTGTGCAACAGTGAAATCCTTTGCACAGACTGGATCAGTGCGAACGGTTCAAAACTGGTTACTAACAAAAAATGAAAACGAAAGAAAACTTGCTTAATAAATGTTTTGTGGCCATCAAAATGCTTCAAATAGTTGTGTAAAAGCATTCGGCACAATCTGCACATTTGTAGAGGTTTGGAGACGCTGGTGACATCAAAAGTTCTGGAACTGTTGTAGTTAGAGATCTGAAATGTTATGCATTTGTAATTGACATGATGTTGAACAAATGTAATGCAATGAAACATGCCTTTTCTCAAGCATGTCTTTGTAACTGCTCATCAAGAAAGGTGTATTATTTTTGAGAAGCAAAAATCAACTTTGAGTCATGTTTAAACTGATGCAGTTTAGGCTGTGTTTTTTTCACACTATTTTCAAAATTAGAAGATTTAAGCTTTCAAATGATGCATTACACATGTAATTTGTTACCTGTGGAGTACCACAGGGATCAGCGTTAGAACCAATTCTCTTTACTATATATATGCTCCCAATCGCTAGAATTATTAGACAGCATGGGATTAATTTTCACTGTAATGCTGATGATACTCCTTTTTTTATCAGGACGTGCCATTTAAATCCCATATCAAAGAGGTTTCTAGAATTTCCTTCTTTCATCTGTAGAACATGGCAAATATTAGAAATATCCTGTCCAGGGGTGATGCTGAGAAACTAGTCCATGCATTTGTTACTTCAAGGCTGGACTATTGTAATTCTTTATTATCAGGAAGACCACAAACTGTAGTTAAAAGCCTTCAGCTGATCCAAAATTCTGCAGCCAGAATTCTGATGAAAATTAAAAAGAGATCATATCTCTCCTATCCTGGCTTCTATTCATTTGCTTTCTGTTAAATCCAGAATTTAATTTAAAATCCTCCTTCTCACATATAAAGCCTTAGATGGCCAAGCTCCATCAGAGATCTGATTGTTCCCTATGTTCCTAACAGACCACTACACTCTCAATTTGGAGGTTTACTAGTGGTTCCTAGAATTTCTAAAAATAGAATGGGAGGCAGATCTTTTAGTTATCAGGCTCCTCTCCTGTGGAACCAACAACCAGTTTTAGTCCATGAGGCAGACACCCTGTCTACTGTTTACTATTACCCCATTCTGCAGAATATGTTAGTTCAATCTCTAATATTATGCACTCTCTTTTTCTCACACTAGCTTCACCTCATCTGTTCCTGTTTGGCTGTGATGTTTGAGCTCAGCTTGTTTTCCATTGTAGACAGTGACTAACTAGACGTGCTCTCTTTGTCCTCTGACGGAGGAGCTGGCTCGGCCTGTGGAGCTGGGTGACAGTTGCCTTTTGTATCTCTGCTTATTTCTGTATTTCTGCTTCTGTCTCCTTGAACCCCAGTCGGAGGCTTCTTTCTGATAAAAAGTAGTTTTTCCTCTCCACTGTCGCTACAAGCATGCTTGGCGTGAGGGATTGCTGAAGAGTCAATGAGTCAATGCAATCAACTGGTTTTCCTTAGATAGAAAACTTTGAATCAGTTTGAATGCAAGATCTGGTTGAATTGTATCTGTAAAGTGTCTTGAGATGACATGTGTTGTGAATTGGTGCTATAGAAATAAACTGAATTGAATTGAAATTCTAAAGGAGTCCTCCTGAGAACTAAATGCATACTCTGTGCACTTAGACATATTTGTCAGCAGATCATTTTACTGTTTTAAAATCTGTTTTGTTGGTCCTTTAACAAGTTTCATCTATAAAATACTCTTAATTGATCTATACAGTATTAGTTAAAAAAAATTTATGAATTAAGTAAAATCTTTTTATTTAGATTTTAAACTTGTTTAATGGGTCCCATAGTAGACTTTGAGCAGTTTCTCTGAGGTTACAATGTAAAGATCAGCTGTGGTTTACATTACAACGATTTGTGATCTGTTAACAGTGATTTAACCAAAACATTCAACTTAATGTGTCATTTTAAACCTTTCACTCCTTTATTAAAATGTTTAAACACAAGCAGCTTTTTACTGATGGTGTGACAATAACACTGAGTTTCAAGACTAACAGTTGCTATAGCAATATATATTTCTCTAATGTTTCCAATTTAGCGTTGGATAAAAACCCAACAGAAGCACGTCTTCCACAAACCAAATAATCAGTACTGAAAATGATTAATTAGATTTGATTATACTATTTCACACAAAGTAATGTCTAAACGTCTGGGATTATTGATCACTAGTTATCACTGGGATTATTTAGTCCAAAGCAGGCAGATTTTGTTGTATTCCTCCAAAGGAATACAACAAAATCTGCCTGAAAGACTTTGCATCAATATGCAGATGATGCAAAGTCTTGGTAGTTTTATCTTAAACTCTCCACTATCACCTTCATTTGACTTTTTTGATGCAGAGATTTATTGTTCATCAAGACTGTTTGAAAATGGCAACATTTCCTGTTTCCTTCTGTTCTGTAGATCAGCAGATATGATAGAAAGGGTTAAACATTACAGCTGCTCAGAAACAGAAAAAGTTCACATGAAGGAGTAAAAATGTTCTTGTTTTTCATTCACAGCTGATCTGATCTATGGAAAAATTGGTGGCTCCATTGTTCTGAAACCAGGTCAGATTTCAGAGCCCATCAAGAGAGTAAAATGGAGGCACAAAGTTGACCTTACCTCAAAGGGTTCTTGGCAGGATATTCAAAGTGACAGAGCTTTTAAAGGTAAGTTAACTTTAAAACCCAATAACCTGCAGATTAACATCATCCACGATGCCTGTATCTGGATCCTGCTTCCAGGTCGCTGTGACTTTGATAAAACAAGTGGAAGTTTGACCATCAACAGTCTGACTCTAGAGGACAGCGGCAGCTACATAGTTGAGATCAACAACAAAGTTCTGGAGAAGAAGGAACTCCAGGTTATCAGTGAGTTNTTGGACCTGTGACGTATAAATGGAAAACAGGTGACACAGAGTTGTCCACCGACAAGGAGCTGCTGATAACCACGGTATGAGGATAAGAAACCCTGGAAGAACTCAGTAGAACCTTCATGGTTTGGTTTAGAGCTGTTTTCTATTTATTTCTCAGGAGAATAAGGAAAGCTCCTTTTTTTGTGAGTTGGAAAATCCTATCAGCAGCAGCTCCAGTGAAACAGTGGAAAACCCCTTTATCAGAGGTTAGAGGAAAACATTCCTGTCTATTTTTTATCCTTTCCAACTTTAGTAATTTAAATAAATAAACTCTTCAAATTCCGTCAAAATTATTCTTCTATACTGTGAATAAAATAAAACATTATTAATTAACAATGGATGTGAAAAATTTGGACCCAAAACAAGATGCTTGTTTAAAAGACTTGAGTGGTTCTACAATTTTTCAGGAAATATTTATGAAGGTTTGACCTTATCTATGTCATAATTGGTTTAAGCGATCTGACCCACATGCAGAGAACCACTCAGAGAAGAAGGGAAAAAGTTTAACAGGTTTATTGAATGTTGACGAAACACTGTAGCTGGCACTGGAAGTCAGTGGACTGGTGAACTGGAACCGGAAAGTCTGAAGTAAAGATCACAGTGATCAGTTCAGGGACCATAGGAAAAAAGACGGAGGCTTGAATATTGCTGGAGAGGGACTCACGTTTGAGGGGGCTCTTGTTAATCCTTGAATCCAGTTTGTGGGGAATGAATCCAGAGAAGAGGAACCTCGTTGGAGGGCGGACAGGTAGACATGTGTTGGACCCAGAGGAGTAAAGGAGTGGACTAACACTTGGATTTCAGATGAGGACTTGTGGAGGATCATGTGGAGGTTTTCCCCTGTTCAGTGTGTATCAGTTAATCCTTCCAGTGGGTGAAGGTCCAGGTATCCCGTAACACAGGAAGGCTTCCCGCTAAAGAGCAAAGACAAAAAGATAAGACTCAGAGAAACAAAGCTTAGGTTAGACTCTGCTAATCTCAGCTTGGCTAGAGTACCCAAAACTGGCAAACACACGGGCATTGAGGTAGTGACAGCCAGCTGCTCAAATACTCCTCCTGTAATGATCCAACGAGCCGCAGGTGTACAGGGAGGCCCAACGAGGACAGGGCACCACCTGGTTGTGGGGAGATAAAAACACAAAAACAACCCACACAAACTGGATTCCTAACAATCTAATGATTTTGAAAATAATTTTTAATAATTGAAATATATGTCAAGAATGTGAAAAGCAAAGGGAAACTTATGAGAACATCTTAAAGATCCAGAAAAGTTCTAGGAAAACATGAACTACTAGATTTTGGATGAATTTCAGGAAAGTCAATCATAAAACTCTTTGTGTCCTATTCACTGCATGAAAAGTGAGATTTTCGTCCCCGTAAACTCCTGCAGATCTGCCTGATTTTCATCAGTTTCCGACAATTT